TAAAATAGCAGCCAGAATTCAGTCCTTTGTCGCACGGGAAATGGGCTGGTTATCACAGGATATGTATATCCATCTGGAGGGTGCTGTTTGCTCCGATGAAGGGATACTGAAGGGATAAACGATCCGAAAAGTCTACTGATTTTCATTCGACTCTTTTTGACCAGCAAACAACCACTTTTCATACAAAGCGATTAGTTTTTAGGAACCGCAGTAATCGCTTTGTATGAAAAGTGATTGTTGGTCAAAAAGAGTCGAATGAACTCGTGAAAGTATGGACGAGACGAGGGCTCACGCAATTAATATCGCCTTTGTCATCACTTCCAAGTTACGACAGCTACAACTAACGAAGATCGAATAGCGGCCTCCGTTTGAGCTCTTGCAAGCATCTCTTGGTCATCCGTTATGGCTTGCTGAAACACCCCCTTTGCCGCAACCGTCGCAAATACTCGCAGTTCCCAACTGAGTAAAAACCCCGTCTGTCTCAAATGTTCGCGTGATTCGTACGTGTGAACCGTATATGTTTGGAACAGGCGATGCATGCAAGTGCGCGCTCACTGGCGGAAGAGGCGGGTCTCGCGGGATTGCGGGACTCGATATGTAATCCATGCACATTCGTCAGAGCTAATATGCCCCTTATAGAACGCACTTCAGTTCGACACGTTCGGCAAACACTGATCTGCTGTTAATCATTTTGAACCTTAACCTTCGAAAGCATGCATGATCGTATGATCGCGGCCCCGGCCTACCCAAGTACGGTACACACCCTTTCTGTTGATGATAATAAAACTGTTGTAAATTGTTAAGAGACGCCGGAGAATTCCCCTCTTTAACCAAAGAGTCCAAAAAACAGTTTCAAGTTGAAAACTAAAAGCCAATATAAATAAATTATTCTGTATTAGTTTGACTTATTATTTTCAAGTTATTTTTCGATATATAAGAAATAAGAGAAAAAATACTGATCACGAGATGAGAACAGCTCACTTCCCGATCAGATGTTCTCGGGGTTATAAGAAGACAAGATCGGTGCGACATCGGAAGTGGTTCCCGGGCGTGTGCTCATTTCTGCCCAGCTGGTGTCCGGTATAGCCTGCTATTAAAAATCACCCCCCGCCCCCAGAGAGCTACGCAGGCTAGTGTCAAAAAAATTAATCTCTCTTTTACATAAATTTTTGGCTTCGGAGGAACAGCTTTCAGCAGTGTCCCTCTCACTATGAGAAAGCTTTGGAACAGAATCTAGAGTCTGCGTGGGATGTACAGGTATGACCGTGCTCAACGTCACGCTCACTCTACGGATGTCGTGATTGTGAATAAGGTTTCCTGCTGATTATAATAGTACGATGGATATGATTGGCTATCTTTACAAGAGCCATTGTGTGTCGAAGAATACTATTGGTCAAATTTATGTCAAATAATTTTATAATGGCGTCCAGCTGTTGAATGCGAATAATTTGCTTCCAATGATGTGAGCGGGAGGGTTATTCGTGTGGGTGAATGTCGAAGGAAGAAGAAATTCTGCTCACCGAAAAACAGTTTTTACAACAAAGTACGTTAGAAGGGCAGGGACTTTAACGGCCAAGGGATAACAGGGTCTTTGTATAGAGGAAGAGAGCAGGGAATGGCTGGATTGCGGCAAACGCCGCCGGTATTGCAAGGAATCGCCCATTGCCGTGCGCTCCGCCGCCAAGCCCGATCATGGGTTGTCGCCGAAATCTTGGGTTTGCAGTGCTTTCGTCGTCTCCAGAGTTTTCACGAAACTCAAGAACTTGCAGAAATGAATGATTCATTAGTTGTTGCTCTTTCAAGAATGAGAGTTGAACAGTCATCGTTGAAGAGGAAAAAACATTCGGAGCACGAACTTCCCCCAGGACTGGAAAACCACGATCGGAGCTCAACACGAACAGAAAAGGGCAAAAATAATCAAAGACAATCGGGAAATTCATCGCTTAAAAGGCAGAGTCTCTTCACGGAACGTTTACCGAACGCTTGCTGTCAATTAGTTCATTTCCTGTGCCAAGTACGTAGAATTTACTTTGATATCGACTGTGAACAAGTAGAAGCTGATGTACTATGTACGAACGAATGTTCTTGGTATGAATAATTTTATAATTCCTGATGCAAATTCTCTTGTAAGGTATATGAATGACCATGAATCACGCTATCGTTTCACTGACATTTTTTGTAATTCGAATAGTTAGCCATTATATTAGAAAGAGTTTACCTTCAATTTATCCCCTTTCCTTTCAATGTCGGTTTAGAATGAAAGGACTAAAAATTTCCAGGCAAAAAAATTATTCGACAGTCGAGATTTTAGTAGAAAATATATTGAGCTTCTCTCGACTTCACTATTAAATAGTGGTTAAAATGGTATTTGAATAAGTTTTGGAAACAATTTAGAGTGAAAAATTTTACATAGAAATTTACATGGGTTATACCGGAAAGCCTATAAAAATTTCCTAAAATTTAGGATGAATTGAATACAAAATGGCGTTCGCCAAATGGCGTTCGCTTGATTTAGCTCGCTCCCCAGCGTGTCTGTACAGGGTATAAACTTGTTTTCACAAAAGAGTGTAGATGAAAGAGCTATTTATATTCTTGTAAAATTATTTTAATACGAAAGTAACAAAATTTATTGCTGTATGGACTATAGCGACCAAGGCAGAGATGTATTTTATGTTTAATATAAGAAACAAAGTTCACAAGGAAATATTTGTGTCATTAAAATATGAAAAGATAAGCTTATGAATCGTGGTTTCAAATTGAAGTCATAATCCATGCTTACAATCTAGTATTACAGTCTGCTTCTAATTTTCGACTTGTTTACTGTTCGCCCAGCACTTGTATGTAGGAACAATATGAGTCTTGCCTCAAAAGTCCAATCAAATATTGGATAAAATGTATCTTTTTTAATATAACTTGCCATATATTTCTTTAAATGTTTCAACACTGAGTTGGTACAGTGGACACATTCTTTAATTTTCCATGTAATGGGATCAGCCATGGGTGCCTGTCTGTCTTTTGGAAGGACTCACTAAGTCTGCCTTAGGTGGCTTGACCCAATATTTTTGCATGAGCACCGTCCAACTTTGAACCTCCCATACCTTAAACAGACTGATTTCAATTTCATATCCATTATAACACATGTGTTACATGTAGACTGAACTACAATGTGGTATGTTTTTTGGAGAGATCGGATTGAATATCACGTGATAATGACGTCACACCTGTTTTAGTTCTGAGTCGAATGTTATATAAAAGTGACCGGGAAAATGTGTTTGTTGTAAATATGGGTTAATTATAAACGAAACCCTGTTATAACGAATTTGTGGGTACAATGACCACAATCTTCGTTATATCAAGATTTGGCTGATAATTATTTTGCCTTAAAATTAAACAGTGTTACATTGCACCACTCAGCAGAGGATATAGTGGCATAGATATCGCTATAGTGTGGTATCATAATGAGCTGTTGACAGGATTTCCATCTCTGTTGATCTGCCTTTGCATTCAACTTCAGGCATGTGATGATTATCCGTTATATTGATGTAGATTTTGGGCTTTTGGATTTTGTTCATCATGACGGGGATTTTGTTATACCGGAGTTTGTTCTATCAAGGTTCTGTTCCTTACATTTTACTGTAACTCTGATTGGGTCGAAGAATATAATTTTGTTTTAGTAAAAATCTACTAGTATACTAATGCAAATGAGACAATCTGATTGGCTGAGCTACTCGTATACTATCAGCATTAGTGTGCAGTGGCTGGAAGTCGTCTACAAAATTGCGATTTCTTCTCATTTCTCCGAACTTTCAGAGGAATATTTTGAGTTATTACAGACAATAATTGTTATGATTTTTACTAAAACAATTAGATTATGAGCTCGAGATTTCTATGATGTGATAGTTGAATCGGCCTACGGCCTCGTCAACTATCACATAGAAATCTCAAGCTCATAATCTAATTGTTAAATAGCTGGGTCGTCGTTATAAAGGGGTTCGTTATATCTGGGTTGGCAAATATATCTTATCATGACAGTAAATGTCATTGAATGTTTTTTTTATCACAGTTGAAATGGATCAGCATAAAAATTATACAGAATAATAATTGTACAAGTTGAGTTGACTGAAATTGTTACTAAATGTACAGTTTTGCATGTGTCGTCATCTTACTCAAGGTGACCAGGGCTGTACTTTAGCATTGATTGTAAATGTGAGGTGCTTTGGAAGTTATTTGAGAACACTTGAGAAATGTAAGAAAAATAACGTGAGCCTGCTGCTCATTCGATTCAGTGTTATTTAAATTTCTCCCATGTTCTCAAATTCCTCTTTTAAAACACTGGAGTAAAATTATGGGTACCAGCAAAATGTCAGGGCAAGCTGACAAAAATGCTGCGGGCTACCTGCGATGGACTAGCATCCCATCTAGGGAGTGGCGATACCCTGGCTGCTTCATGCTATAGAAGTGACTTCCTGTATGTCTGTTGTGGTGATTTATGACATACCCCAAACAATACCTTTCAAATGGTATATTACTTGTGTTCTTTGGGTCTATAGTTACCATTTTAGAAACATACGCTATTACTACCAGGGCTTAAAGGTTTCATTCTCCCCTCTTGTTCAATCAAGCAGTCTCCAGTCTACCAGAAAGATTCATGAAAGCGAATTAGCTTACAAAGTGAAGCCTTTCTTGCTTTAAAAGACTGCCAGGAAATTCAGAAACAGAGCTGTACCAGTTGTGGTGTGATAACCTATGGCAGGAAAAAAGTAGAAAAACGTAGTTCTACAAAAGCTTATAAAGACTCAACAGGCAAGCGCTTAACTTGGTATCCATAGCATGAAAGTGGCTAAGCATCTCATCCTGTAGGAGAAGCAATACTCCTGGCCATTGCGGGTTACTCCCCCTCCCTCCTCCCACCACCCCAGCATTTTGTTAGGTTATCCTGGTTGGAGAAGGGCAATGTGAGAGTAACGTACATATATCTCGCCCAAGAATACAACACCATATGAGTACTCGGCCAGCACTTGAACCCAGACCGCTCGAACCAGAGTCCAATGCACTAACCATTATGCTACCTCATCTCCCCTGTGTTTCTGCAAAGGAACGACTACTTTGGGAACTACATTTTTTCCATAAAATGACCAAAATCGCAGCCAGCTGAGCATTGATTTAATCATTTATTATGTATTTTTTTTTATTTACTGTGCCTTTCAATAACACGTGAACTCTGAAGTTCCATGAAACCCAACTATTACTAACGATTGCATTTTTCACTGCTGTCAATCATAATTATGACACCAATGGAACCTCTGAAAAAAGAAACAAACAAATGGATTGAAATCTACCAATCACAACCCATGGACGGGACCTTTTGAACCTGCTGAGTCAACTTGTTTCCTGAGATGTCCGCTATGATTATTGATGGCAGCAAAAAACGCAAGTTTACATGTGTACATGTTATTGGAAGGTGCAGTTTTAATTATTTATTTTATTTTGATTTATTTTTTTATTAATCTGAATGCATTTCCTTTGAAAACTCCAATACACCCTTGGGCGCACCGAAACACACTGAGCCTAACAGGTCCTAACTCCAGAAGAGGTTTCAGTAATTTCAGTAGTAAACAAACCATTAAACTATTTTAATAATAATAATAATGATAATAACAATAACAATTTTTAAAGAGGGTAGCACCAAGCTAACTCAAGGTTAATTAGGGTGACCCTCTATTTTGAGACATATTATCAGCATTTTACATCTCAGACCCAGTTTTGCTTCCTTATAAGTGTTGATGTACCCTCTATAATTAAGTTTTTGCTCAACCTCGTCCCCAGGGTCATTCAGGATCAAAATGGGGGACACGCCGACCAGCCGCCATCTTGAAAAGCAACGCCGAGAAAAGCCTGGGAACGAGGGTGGACAACTTTTATAGAGAGAACGTTTTAAAATTTTATCCTCGAACGGCAACCAGTCGAAGGCGAGTGTGCTTGTTTTTGGTGCTCTTTTACCTCCACCAATGAGTTGGGAAGCGCTTGTTTTAGTATTTACAACTGGACATTACGGAAGAAGAGAGCATTCAACTTCCGCTTGCCGTGGTGCTCGCGTGACTCGTTCTGTTACCATGATCGATCGCGTGATTCATATTACAATGTACTGATCATGATCGCGTGACTCGTTCTATTACAATGCGTACTGATCATGATCGCGTGACTCGTTATATCATGATCGTTACAATGTACTGATATCAAATTCAAAACCATGATCACCCATGGCAAGTTTACCGTATATGATTTGATTTGGAATTCGAGGGAGGACATTTACTTGGGACAGGGGCACAGGGCGCTTATTTTATCAAAACAGAAGTCAGTTTATGCCATACTAAGCTTATTAACATATTGGCACATTGTGTGTGAATCTTTATTTACTCAAACAGTTGTTCTACATCTCTAAGGCATTGAAATGCAGAACAGAATTCCGGAAGTAACCTATCTTCCGTGGAATTATGTGGAAATATTTGATTGGTGATAAACGCGCTCCTAAAATAGAAATAGACACGCGAAAAATCTTGTTTGAAAGCTCTACGACAACTCACATAAACAGTTTTGTATATTCTTGGGGAGCCATTCCTTACAGCTTGTGATTGTTTATTATAACAAACCATACAACCATCGATTCGCGATGAATTTCTTTCACGTTATTCTGTTGAGTTATTTCGTAGCGGCGCTTGCAAACTCAAATCTGACGTCGAAACCCGCCTCGAAAACCAACAATGATACGAAGAAAGGTTCTCAGTGTAGTGTCAATAACAATTACTTCTACGCTGGACCAAACTCCAAGAAAATCGAAAATATGTTTTCTGAAGTAAAACAGCAGCTGGCCGAACTAAAGGAAGAAATCAGGGAAATGAAAGAAACCAAACTGGTGGCCCGGGTGGAAAAGGTTTGTATATACCTAATATATTTTCAAAAAAAAAAAAAAAATAGGCAACTTTGTATATTCTATAAAAACAATATAAAATTAAATTTGTTCGTTCCTTTCATTGCCAACAATACTGACTCCGCAAAAAAAAAACCGTCATCATTTAACCCTCGTTTTCTATAGGTTACTAGTTTTATTCATTTTCTTGTTTAGAAAATAATTTTCCTTTCCCAAGGTATTCGATTTTATTTCCCGCTTCTTTCAGAGGTCTGTTTCAGTGTTTAGCGGCCTCGCTTGCTAGCGGAGCTAAAGCACACATAATCAGTATTGATGAAAACTTGATTGCCAGTAATGTACAATTTGTAGTTTACAAGAACTGTGCTGAAGTTTACCAGTCCGGTGACAAGATCAGTGGAGTGTACAAAATCGATCCTGATGGTTTGGGTGAATTTGAAGTCTTCTGTGATCAGAAAACAGCCGGTGGAGGATGGACGGTGTTTCAGAAGAGACGGGATGGCTCTGTAGATTTCTTCCGAGCTTGGGATGACTACAAACGGGGCTTTGGCAATCTGAACGGCGAGTTTTGGCTCGGACTGGACAAGATTCATCGCCTGACTGTAAGCAGCAGTAACAAGCTTCGTGTTGATTTGGAAGACATCCATGGTAAAACAGCATTTGCAGAGTACAGCTCATTTTCTGTGGCGAGTGAGAAGGCGAAATACCAGCTGAGTTTGGGAAGTTACTCAGGTGAGCTTAACTTGATCTATACTGGATCTTCTGAAAAAAATCGGTTATTGCCTTGATAGCTAAACGTTATGTTTGCAACAATTTCAAAAATTCCGCGGAAGATAAAGCGTTCAATCAATGTTACTTGTGCTTGCATTAAAAGTTTGAAAATTTAGTCTTTTGGACTCAAATATAAAAAAAAACATATAACTTTTAGATGCCCGGGTGTGATGTTTAGTTCAGTTATCATTAAATGAACCTTCCACACAAATTAATTTGCAAAAGTTATAAACCCGTTGAATGTTTAATATAATCAGAGTTTGCTTGTAACATAGACGGAGAGGAAAAAATACATAGACGGGGAGGGGAGGGCTAGTAATGAGACGAGGGAGGGGAGAAAAAAGTTTTCATACGTTGTGTGTGTGGTTGCAAAAGAGCTTTCTAGATGGACGTTTTCCTTTCCAAATGCAGTGATGTTGCTTCATACATTTCTTATATCTTGGTATGTTCTTGCATTTCTCATTGTCCCCTAAAGCTAAAAAACATCTTCCTTCACCTTCACGATAAACTGATTTACACTGTGTTGTGTGTCTCTCTCAGGTACTGCAGGCGATTCTCTCGGCTATCATCGTGGTTCAGCATTTACCACCAAAGACAGCGATAATGACGGCAACTCAGGCAACTGTGCCTTGCATGAGAAAGGCGCCTGGTGGTACAAAAGTTGCCATTGGTCAAACCTCAATGGTCTGTACCTCAATGGTAAGATCGATGATCGAGGAATGGTGTGGTTCCACTGGAAAAATTCCCATTACTCTGTCAAGAAGTCCGAGATGAAGATTCGTTCAAAAGGCTTCTAAGATTCAGTGCCGATAACGTCATGTAACGTTGGAGTGAAATATTTATCCGAAAAAAAACTGTAAGGGTGCTTAAATTGCTTTAGTCTCCTTGGGGCTGTTTTTTAGCAACCAGAAAATATTCGTCATTTCACATATTTTCAGTAATAACTTCTAGTTTAACAACTGATATCCTTTGCCTGCATGGTTTATATTGTGCGATGTATTGAACATAAGATGATGTAATACGTAAGAACTTCTGGAACTCCAGATTTAAAGTTTGTATAAAAGATTCAACAAGTGCTCTTGATAATTGATCACTGAAAATCTTTCCTCGCATTGACCTCCATTGCAGCTCTCTTAGTAGAAGCGAGCATAGAAGATGTGCTTTGTATATTAGTTCTATAAACCAGGATTTTTTTAATGGGGGGGCAATGAAGCGAGTGCCGAAGGCGCGAGCCGCTAGGGGGGTCTGGGGGCATGCCCCCTCAGAAAATTTTGAAATCTAGAGGCGCGGAAATGCTATTTTCAGCCATTCTCCATGAGATATTTTGTCAAAAAATCAATCTCGATCAAGTGTAAAATGACAGGTATTTTTAGTGCTTACAGCAATATTTCCGAGGTTGTTAACTTGATACATACCGTATATCGGCCTTAGTACACTAAACATTTTTATTAGTCTATTTCGTGTGTAAAAGATGTCTCCAGTTGGATTTTCCGCTCCAAAATATATTTCTCATCAATCGTAAATGTTCAAGTTAGTATGGTACCGGACAGTCAAAATATAACTACTTACTTAGTTACCTAAGAAGTAAGAAGTGCTCGCCTCTTCGTTCCCCATCATCTTGATTTAATATGCCTGAGCAAAATCTGGGGAGAGAGTACCAAGCCTTTGAAATGTTCAATCTTGTTTTTTGAAAGACCCTCGCATATATTTTTATCAAGAAGGCGGCTGTTTGAACGCGAAAAAAACATACGCAGTTTTCGTTTTCAGAAAGCATTACCCATTCTTGGGGGGGCGAACTGCCCCCCTTGCCCCCCCGCTAGCTACGGCCCTGTAAACAGATTACATAGGGAATTGTTCAGTTCATTACGTAGGCGATATAAGAACGCTTTAAAGATTCTGCACTTGTTTTACGGCTACATCCTGTAAAAAGGTTAAGAAAAAGCTCTTAGATTACAGACTCTTTTGCTGCGAATTGCTCAGTTTAAAAGTTATTATCTTGTAACTACTGTACTTTGATTTTCTCAAGCACTGAAATGTCACTCAGAGCATCGTAATCAACTAAGACAAGATAATTCCAGTTTTCATAATATATGTACTGACCTCTGCTAATTGAAGCGAATATAATGGGGAATATAATCATGGTTGTAACCGTAAGTAAGCTTTGTGGTGCAAATAAAATGAATAATTGGGGAAAATGTTATCTGTGACTTCTGTCTTTTTTCTAACAGTTTAATTCCCATCAATGGGATCAAACATTTATTTCTCCTTTTCAATATCAACACTAAACAGACACAACCAGAGTAAAAAAGAACCAGGGGATATTATCTTGATGTACCACCAAATTCTCACAAATAATGAAAAAAATGAATGCAATACAGAGT